CATGATATGTAAATTATGCGAATTATACCCTTGTGTTTTTAAAAGTGCAGGAAAACCCCTTGTGTTTTGACAAATAAAGCTCACCTGCCCCCATGAACGGATTAAAACTAACGCCGTTATTAGTGTTGTGAATTGGCATACACCTATTCTTTTATAGCCATCACCCCTGGATCCGGAACCTCTGCCATACTTCAAAGTAAGGCACGGTGCCCGGCCCTCGGGAACCATCCGATCAAAAGATGGACGGTCGGAGATGTTGAAGCGCAGATCCCGAGGCCCCTCTTCCCCCATCCGACGGTCCTCTGCGCGCAAGGCACTCTGCCGTGCGGCAGAGGATCCCAATCCATCACCCCTAACCTCTTATTCTACTTCCACTTGTTTACCTTGTAAAAATTCTTCTCTATCTATCCATATGAAGAACGTACCGTTCTAGGGTGTTCATCACTTTAAGTTCTAGGTGTTAACTGGCAATATATACACATCTCCTAATAATCTTATACTCCGTATATATATAAGCATATATTATATATGCATATATATATATATATATATATATATTAATTCAAGATTGAGAGCCCGTTTGGTAATTATGTTTTTCGGTTTATCAAGCTTATGAGCCAATTTTTCCACTAAATATTTAACTTTTGATTTCACACGCTCAATTGTATATAATAACAAAAAAGTAAGGTTGGAGTTACTTCTTTGACTGTATTGGCTGGAATTATTGTAAATAACCATTTTAACTTTTTTCATTTAATTTTTATTTTATTTTATTAATAAAATATATTTTAAATATAGTTTTTACATAAATAAGAAGAATCAGTCAATCCAACCACTTTAGTCAGAACTTCATAAGTTTCACCAGCTGATTCAACCATTTTTACATAATTTTATTTAATTAATGTGTGAATTATTTAAATGTTGTCTTTTATAAACTGCAACGACCGATTAGATTATAATTGTCATAGAATATTTTACGAGAGATCTAAATTGTTCTAGGATACTTTCTTACGCACACAATCACTTGCTAAGAGATAAGCACGATTAAGGAGTCGTATGCTCGTTCGTTTTGGCAACGAGTTAAATAAAAGCATGCTGACGCATGAGAGATCAACCTTGCTCTCTAAATGGTGTACTCTATGCAACGAAAGTGGTTAGAATTTAGTATTAATTAATGTTACTCATTTAAATGAAACTCATGTGATTAAGCTTGATCAGTCCCGAAATCTGGTTGCCCCATTATCAATCTATGTTTCTGTCTTGTCATTAAAATGGAAGAGCCACTTAATTTAGCTTTATTTTCATCGCAATTTTAACCATTGAAATTAATCAATAATTAGTTTTTTTCTTGTGTAGCCGATACTCGTACTTAAGTTCTTTACTGCTACATTTATTTTATGTATGAGAAAACTCACATCAATCGATTAATTCACCCGCTTCAACCAAAACTTCATAAATTTCAGCAAAATCAGACGATTCAGCCTTACATGACGGACTATTAATTTCTTAATTAAAGTACATGTGTGGGTGCGCGCGCACGCCTAAAAAACTTATTTAAAGGTTAAATGATTAATTCTTAATTAAGTGTGTCATAAGAGATACTACACATTAAATATGTAGGGGTGAGATTGGTCCGGCCTGGGTCAGGTTTTTGCTAAACCCGAAAATTACTCGTAAGGTCTCGGGTTATGCATGAAAATTAGGAACTAAAACAAAGCCCGTTATATTCTGTCATAGTCGGGTTTTTGGTAGCCCGAGTTCGGTTCGGGTTAGGGTTGAACCGGTTAAAGCCCGAACGTGAAATCATGTAATTTTTTTTTTATATTTTGAAACCTATTTTCAAATAAAATTAATCAAAATACAATTCGCAAATGATAACACAAATATTAGTCTCCAAAATCACCTACAATTCAAATTCAGAGAAGATAATTATCTTAATATTTTGTTTAAGGTGCATATAAATAAATATTACTGTTTTACCTATAAAAAGATACTATTGGTTTTCTAAAAATATTACTAAATAAAATTTATGAATAAAAATGTGACTAAAGTTACTATAAATATATATTCATGGTCATTACGATATACAAAAATGAACATATTTATATTCATTAAAAGTTAGTACGTCATTTTTTCATCCACCATGATTATAATAATGTATTAGGAATATTTATAAATTTGATTCATCATTCATATATAATTATTAATTTATATTAAAGACAATTATTTCAAGTTTTTTTCCAATCCGGGCCTAGATTTTAGAGCCCGTTTATGATCCCGAACATTCGGGTTCGATCTGGGTTTTTATTATTCGGGCTGGTTAAAAAGAAAAAAAAAAAACGGACATGGAAAATCATTCGGATCGGGTCAGGGTTGGTTTCCGGATTTTGGTCCAGTTTTTCCGACTCTTTAAATACGGAGTGCTACATACTAAGTACTTCATAAGATAGATTCAACGCCAACAAATCAACATGAATAGGATATGATATTCTAAAGGCAGTTTTCTAGATACAAAATGGAAATTCATTTTTTTAAAGAAAATGGAAATTCATTTTAGAAAACTGAAATGTCAAACAATGTGACAAATACTCTCACCTCAAGAGCGTGTGAGGCACATTCAAGGTGGAGACAGGGGGAGGCTGGCGGTGGCCCCCCTGCAAGAAAAAAATTGTGATGTATATATACATGTACAAATATTTTTAAGTAGTGAAAAATATAGTGAAAATTTAAGTTTTGCCCTCTGCTATATAAATTCTTTAAGCCTCGACCCATGTAACCTGTCAATTCTGACTCCGCCACTGGGCACGTTGGTTAACTTCTCGTTCTTCAGTGTTTTGATGCCACATTTATTAAAACATAAGGGTATTCCATGCATATTTCTAAACACAAGGGGCTAACATGCTTATTATTGATTTCACAAAGGTATTTCCTGCATTAAACCCCACAAAGTGTACTACGTGGATGACCACGTAGGTAGTTAACCTAGAAGAAAAAATCTCTTTTGTACCTATTTTTGTACCCACTTTGATACATCCCCTATTTTGCATGTGTACACAGGATATTCGTTAAGAAGAGGACAACATTTATCTCCCATCTGTCTGTGTACATACAATGTACAAAAGTGCGCATACATGTACTAGCGTTTGATCGCGCAATGCGCGATAGCTTTTGCCCAATATCAACTTTTTTTGTAAATAACTATTATATGTGAGATTGCTATGAGTTTTTTAAATAGTGTGCGAAATTATTGGATCAATTATATTTTTAGTCCATAACCTGATGTGTGGGAAAATGCCTATATTTTTTAAAGCTATGTGATTCTAAGAATTGACTATATTTTCCATTTAAGTATATGGAATGGTTGAAATGACAATATGCTCTTAATATGATCTGTGGCAGTAGTGTTAACACCTTATGTGCATATTGAGATGGTAAAAGTATAGGTGTTGTGTGAGTTTCAAAATTCTTTAAAAAAAAACTTTTCTGACTACGAGTATTCTACAAGTTCATACACACTCCACACATGCCGTCTTTAAGAGTATGGATAATCTTTTTGGAAAATTCTTATTGTACACGCCAAATCAATACACACTCCACACATGTTCACAAACAAAACGTATTTTATTTGTGAACAATGTAACCTTTTTTGAATACCCTCAAAGACGTTGTGGCATGTCGGGCCGGGCATGTATGGATTTGGGTGTGTACAAATAATTTTTTGTAATTATTTACTAGGTTGAATAGCCTAAATGTGTATTTAGCAGCATGAAGTTTAGACTCAAGACTTTTGAGAATACAATTTGCTAAAATAATAACAATAACGATAGTTATAATAAATCTTATAATTTATATTTAAATAAAAATAAAAATAAAAATAATTAAATTGCAATTTTTATAATTTATCTTATAATTTTCGTGTTATTTTCGCGGGTGATAAGCATGAAGTCTTAGAGAATGCATTTTGTTAAAATAATAATAATAACGATAGTTAGTTATAATACATCTTACTACCTCCGTCCCACTAAGATTGGGACGAAAGAAGGTGACACGATTATTAAGAAAAGTGAGTTTGTGTGGTTGATATTAAATTGATAAAGTAAGAATAAATTAAGAATGGTTTAGAGTCCCACAATCTTTACCAAATTTGGTATGAGATAATCTTAGTGGGACTTCCCGAAAAGGTAAAATGAGACAATCTTAACGGGATAGAGGGAATATAATGTATATTTAATTTAATTAGAAAAAGAAACTAAAGTAGGGAGTGAAGTCGTTGCCTTTTAAAATCCAAAAAGTTTTTTTTTTAATTTGTGTAAAGAAGTACGTAGGAAATTAATTTCGGTAAATTGGATAGAATTTTCATTTACGGTCCACTCACAATAGAATAGTGACTTGCATTTTGAACTAGAGCCTATAAGCTTCTGAACTCAAGTACGTAGTAGTATTTTGAAAAAATAGGTGTAGCCTAAAAAAAGTTGCAACTAAAATAGAATAGCTTTTTTTAGGTGAAGCATTGACTTACTCTATTAAGTTATACATCCGTCCCTACTTAACGGAATACTAACGTTAAGATGGGATAGTAAGGACAAATAAGTCATATTAAAAGTAGGGTTCCATTTTGTAAAAGTAATGTACAACTTCTCATGCATTAAGCATGTTGACACAAGTTAGGGGTACCAATATTCATTGACAATTATAATGTTGTTAGATAGATGTGTGTACACCAAGAAGGATTCAACCTAATAGTTCAATTGAGCTTTTTCTAGTAGTTCATATGTTCAATTGAATGTTTTTAAAGTAGGTTGACTTATTTGAATTTTATGACAAGGAGGATTTACAACAATTTCCTCTTTCTAAAAAAAATCCGTATTACCGTATTATCAATGCAACATCAAAATGTGCCCCACAATCTAACCGACCATCATCTCTAGCGGCTAGCCTTTCCAAACGATAAACTTCAACTTTTCTAATTAAGACATGTGATAAAATAATAAAATATGGAAAGAATGATATCGCAAATAAAAAAATCTATGGGAGGAGTATATATATTGAGCAGCGGCGGGCGGAGATGGGAGATGTATGCAGGTGCAGAACGAGAATGGAGACTTGGTGCACTCCTTCCAACTCACACAGCATTCTTCTATACACTACGCCCAAAGTAGCCGGAGTTTCACCGGAGCACCGCCCACGTCCGTGTTTCTTCCGATTGCTTACAACCGTTTCGTGGGCTGAGATACTCGCATAACAACCTTGGCGAAACAAGGTGACTCCTTTTTCTTCTTCTTTTAGGATCCCTTTGGATAAAGCGTTTGGGAATTGGATATATAGAGCGTTTTTGTAGAGCTTGGATAGAGCTTTTGAGTAGATGAACCTAATTATATTACTCCTTGTTTACAAGGGATGAATGAATCTAGCTGCATCTATACAACTAATGTTTGCATAACTGAAGAAGCATACAAATTGTGTTTCTATACCTTTGAAGCTCTGCCGCAGTTTGGGAAGAAAGAAACTTCAAACTCTTGTTGCACTAGTCTTCCTTTATAAAAAGATTTCATATGTAGTTTTTAATGGAATTTCCTTTATGGAAACCCTTCATTTGACATTTTATAGCACAACTCATTATTAGAAATGTATTGCTATTTTGTTAATTATTAATATGTGAAAATGTCTATATTTGAACTTGTAATTTATAAAACAAAGTTTAGCTGGAAAAAGTGTATACATAAATATGAGGTAATTATAGGTATATCCCTATATTTTTATATCTATGCGTTTTCTCGACATTTCGTATCCTATATCTTTTAAAATAGCTTTTATCGAATTTCATGTTTTGTGTTTCTGTGCTAGTTAGTTGATACTTAATAATTTAACCAAAATACAAAAAGATGTTATGCTAGATTAACTTAGTAAATAGTTGTTTGAAGAGGGGTTAAGTTAGGTCAACGTACACAAATTACTTATTAGGATAATTTTAATCTCCCTCTCCCAAATTTTCATTGTAGAACCTACTTAAACCAGGGTATTAGAGGTTCTCCAAGTTGAAACTAATTATCTAAAAACCCAAGTTCTTGTTATCATTTAAACAAATGAGGTAAACTGAAATTATACATAGTAGAATCCAGATGTACCCTGACCCTTAAAGACTATTATGATGTTTGGCTGTAGAAGGATGATTTCATAATTTATTTCAAGTCAAGGGGGTTCTAGTCTTGCGAGAGGCTTCTTGTCAAAATGACAAGGGAAGGCCTACATCCTTGAGGTGGGACCTTTCCCCGGACTAGGCTGGCCTTTTTTTAGATCACTTGAACGATTTGAAAGGACTTGACCCATGTTGGTTTTTACTAAGCTTGCACACCATGTCTCTCATCATTTTAGGAGTGAACCAAGAAGAGATCAAATGGCTCCCTTGTATTCTCTTTTTAGCGGTTTGGCAAGAACAATTTCATATAAGAGTGGAAGGAAGAGCAAACAAGACATTGAAAGAGAAGCTGCAAATTTACTTGCCAAGGATGCAAGAAAGAATGAGCTAATCCTGACAACCTCTGGCAGTGTTAAATCCATTGCGTCTAAGAATTTTACTTCTCTGCATTCAAGACAAGGAAAAAAGGGAGTCAATCAAGATCGCCTCATTGTATGGGAGGTATTTAAAAAATCCAATAATTCTATATATTTTATTTAGTACTTTTTCATTCTAGTAAAAGTAATGGTTTTGCCTAATTTCACTAAAATATGAGCTAAATGTTTTGTTAGTAGTAATTAAGGGTCTTGCAGTTTCGCTTTCGTCGATTTGTTTTTGAAAAAACTGAAACCGAAGTCCGATTGATTAAGTGGTTTTTGGTCAGTTAAGGTTCACTTTGGCAACTTGGTTGGTTTTGAAAGCATGAATCATAAACCGTAAACCGAACTGCTCCTAGTTTTGTCAGTATTTTACTGTTTCGGTCAATTTGGTTTTGGTTTGTCGGTTTTTTGTTGCCCCTTAATAGTAGTGGTTTTGCCTAAGAGTAAATTGCTCTATATAAGTGTAAAACTTGACGTTTTCCAAAAATAAGACTAACTATGTTCATTCCTTACCTAGGACTTGCGTAATCCTTAATTTAAGTGTAATAATTTTAAACTCAAAATACCCTCGAATTTTAGGTTTAGGGTTTATAATCTACCATTTAGGGTAGAGTGGTGGCAGTCTGGCAACTGGGTGGCGGCTGTTCGGCTGCGGCCGTTACGGGCGGCAGTCCAGTGAGCTGCAGTGGTTCAGCAGCGCCTGTATTGGTGGTTAGCGGCAGTATTCCAAATGTGCTTGCTCTCCTGTGGTGGGTTATTATTTAGGGCTGTAGAATAAAAGGGTATTTTGGTCAGTCCAATATATTTGAGTCCTACTAATGTTTGTATTCCTATTTGAGAAATGAGTAAATGACATATCCCTGTGCCTAATAGTGCTATTAAAACAGGAGTTTGGGGGTCAAGAAGATATAATTTTCTGTGGTGTGTTTGATGGCCATGGTCCATGGGGTCATGTTGTAGCTAAAAGAGTCAGGGAATCAATTCCTATTTCTTTGATGTGTAACTGGAAAAAAGAGCTCGATCATTACAATGATGAAGGATTAGATGACAGACAATTCTGCCGTATTGACATATGGAGACAATCTCTCATCAAGACCTGTTCTGCTGTTGATCAAGAACTCAAACAGCATGCCGATTCTTTTTATAGTGGCACAACTGCACTGACAGTTGTTAAACAGGTAATGACAAAGTACTTTTAGGCTTTGAATCTTAACTTATACGCTAAGCATCATTCACGTTCATGCGGATTTTACGATATATACTCATGATATTTTGCAAGCAACTAGCAATGGAAATAAGCTAATAAACCTTATGATTGCTAAGCTATCTCGCGCCAGCCAACTATGAAGGTTATTATAAGGTCACCCTTTTAGAATAAAAATCTCAAGTCGTAAAATGCAAGATTGATGTTCACCAACGAGAACGAACCCTCAAAGCTCTAACGACGATGACGATGATTTTGAATTTCATCTCAGTATTCTTAGTTTGCCACCGGTGATATTTACACCATGTTTATATTTTTTGGGTGTCAATGTATAGCCATGACTAAACTTAGATGGTTAATTGACGCCATAAATTTCATGCCGCTAGCCCGCAATGTTGTTACTATTAAGGTGCTCAGTGTGATGATGAACTCAGTTAAAAAAAACTTTAATTTTTCCTTACATATTTCAGGGTGATCTTATGATGATCGCAAATGTGGGGGACTCCAGGGCAGTCTTGGCTACAACTGATGACGGTGGTGACCTAGTACCGGTTCAGCTAACGGTCGACTTCAAACCCAACTTACCTGGTTAGTACTTATAATAACACTCCCCCCACTATTTGGCTGTCTATGGCTGCACAGTTCTTATCATTACAACAATGTGTATATAAAAGACTTATCTTTGTGCTTTTGTTGAATGCTGAAGGAGAACGTGAGCGCATAATGAGGTCCAAGGGCAGGGTTTGTTCGAGTGATGATGAACCGGGAGTGTATAGGGTGTGGATGCCACCTCAAAATGGAGAAGAATTGGAAGGGCCTGGGCTAGCAATATCTAGAGCCTTTGGAGACTACTATTTCAAAGACTTTGGCCTCATTTCTGAGCCTGAAGTGATGTTCAGAAACATAACCTTTAGAGATCAGTTTGCCATTTTGGCCACAGATGGAGTGAGTACACTGTACACAACTACTTGTGTCTACTAATTGTTATACAAAGTATACAGACCAAATTAATGCGAACATTTTTTGTCGGATTTTGTATTTTTTAGGTGTGGGATGTAATGTCTAACCAAGAAGCTGTGGATATAGTTTGTTCAGCGCCAGAAAAGGAAAGTGCTGCCAAGAGGCTGGTGGAGCGTGCAGCTTGTGCATGGAAGCGGACTAAAAGGGGAATTCCAATGGATGACATGTCTGCAATTTGCCTCTTCTTTCACAGCCCTTCATGATTCTGTGAAGAAGTACAACTTGGCTGCATGACGCAGAAGACAATAAAACATAAGCTTCAACTACGTAAATACTCATTTGGGTCATACAAACTAGCTAGCCGTTTCATTCATTACCTCATACAATATTCCAATATGCACTCCTAATCCTTTACTGTATTGAGGACCTGAATTATATAGTTTGCTTACCTTCTTTTCTCGTATATGTAGCTGTTCTACCTTAAATTGCATTCATACGTGTATGAAAGTGATGATGTTTTTTACACTTGAGGAATAAAATCAAGGGGCGGTGTACTTTGGACTTAATGAGAATAGTGACTTAATGGTTAAGCCATTAACTCGCGTTTACTTACGACTTAATTGAAAACATGACTTGATTATTCAGTCAAAAAACTGACTTAAAATTTACTTGTACTGTAATTTGTTGGTCTGATAATGTCTGATTTCTATTTATTTTTATAACTATCCAAGTCTGGTCTGGGACAGATTATAGTCCAAGTAAAAATATTCTAAATCATTAAGCTGGAAAATAGTAGTCATTCCCATTAAGACATCCATTTAAAAGTCTTTTTTGTTAATTTTTTATAGATCGACTGTGAAATAGATTTATGTTAATAAATGAAATTTATCATTGACATTATGGCACAAGAATAATAATAAATTGATTATTTTACTCAATTCAAACTGTTTATTCAGCACACAAAGTAAACAATATCATATACAAATACGGAGTATAACTTAATCCAGACAGACGTCATAATTGATATGTGACTTAATAGAAAAAAAATTAAATAGCCTCTAAGTATCTGCAAATTCCATGGTACAGCCGGTTGTACCGTGCGCACGGTACAACCTGACTTTTTTTGTAATTAATCTGCGCGCTGCAACTCATCTGCGAAGAAGAAGAAGAAGGGCATCGATGAAGACGGAACATCGACTTCCCAGGTCTTCAACTCGCGAAGCAGCCACATACTCCGATCGATTGGCGCATCGAAACCTGGATTCGCTTTTGACCTGAGATTCAATTCTTCCCACCCCTGTTTCTGGGCTGGCTTATAGAAAGAAGAAGGGAAAGGAGTTGAAAGCTCTTTGTGGATCTGTCTGTATCGAAATGAGTTTAATATTAAAGGCAAATGAGTATAATGTTTAAAAGGAGTGAATATACATAGATGGATATTGGACACATAAGAATTGAGTTTGTATGTTAAACTCAAATGAGTGTCATGCTCAAAATGAATGAGCATACACAAATGAGCTTTTGAATTTTTTAATACTCATTTTGTAAGTTATGTATGCTCATTTGGAATCGCTTTATGCTCATTTTAAAAGGTTGCACATTTCAAACATATCATACTACATTAGAAATGAGTTTTGTGTTAAATTCACATGAGTATAACGTTCAAAATGAATGAGCACACACAAATGCGTTTTTTATTTTTTTATACTCATTTTGTAAGTTATGTGTGCTTATGTGGTACTGCTTTATGCTCATTTTAAAAGGTTGCACATTTCAAACATATCATAGTACATCAGATTCGCATATTAAAGGTAATTGAAATTGATTATAGACATAACTTAAGACTTTTTAATAAACGAAAAATAATAAACAGAAAGTGATGTATAAGGTATGAAGCAGACATCATTGATGCTCACCGTTAGGTTCCTAATACTCAAAAGAACATATTTGATGTTCAACAAAATTGTGTTAATGCACATTCAAAAGAAGCCGCGTTTTTCATTAAAATTGCAAAAACGCCACCGGCTGTACGGATGGCACCATACAGCCGGTTGTACAGTATACGCTTCCCTAAGTATCTTATTCAAGGAATTAGCTTGACTTTTGATGTAAATTATGATTGGTATTTGGTAATGTGATGATCTACAAATCCTTACAGTGTTAATGTATTTTAGGTTGTTCAATTTTATTGATGAACAATTATAAATTGGGATTTCAAGATTCACAAATCCATTTACGTCGAAGTTTATCATACATCAACAATGTTTATTGAATTTTATTAATAAAGGTATTCAGTAATGGTAATATTATTCACGTTATAATGTTCTCATACATACTTATTGGAAGTGCCATCCTATTCCTGCCGAAGCTTGTTTGAGGTGTTTTCGCCCCAACTTTTTTTGATGAAATTTTATAAGAATGTTCCTCATGTAAGGTAAATTATGACAATAAAATTTCATATTAAAATTCAATTGAAAAATTAGTTGAATAAATTATTGAAAAACACTTAATGAAGAACATGCTTACAAATTTTAATAAAAAAAAAATCCCACTCGAAAGCATGTCAAATGGGCTTGGCCGGATGATACTTCCGGTCTATGAGAAATTTAATGATGTGTAGTTTAATTGTAAACTCAATAACCTTCAAACTTCATCACCATATTTCATATCATGTGAAAATTCTAATGTATTTGTTTATTTACATAGCAAATACTATTTATTGATCTATTTTCTCGAATACTATAATATTTTTATATTAAATGTCAAAATCCTCCACTAAAATATATTTCGAACTTCTAACCTTCTCATTGAGAGTATCAAAACGATGTCATTAAATCATACAGTGTTTGACTATATAGCATATACTATAATAGATTAACAAACACAATAAAAAAATGTATTATTTCCTCTGTCCCACTTAAAGGTTCTCAGTTTCTATTTTATGAAACAATTAACATTCTTAAATGACTATTTAATTATCAAATATTAAAAAATACATTTATAAAATCATAGTTATCATCAATAACATATTATATTATATACTCATCAAAATTATTTCTCAAAATATACTCGAATTCGCATATTAATTGTTGTCTAAATAATCGTGTCATTTTGCCACGAGTACCTTTAAATGAGATGGATCTAGTACATATTTATTTATTTGAGTATTAAAACTAAGGACATGTTTGCTTCACGGGTTGCTAAACAGTGCTTATTAAGACTAGCGTAAATAAGCGGCGCATAAAATAAGTGCTGGAAGCTCATGTTTACTGCAAAGGATTTAAAACACCGTTTAGCATTAAAATGTCCAAAATAACCATATACATAAATAGACACACAAACATTCATTAACACAAGTGCATAATATAATATGTGGGGTCACCTCGTACGTGTACGGTGTACCCATACCCCTAACCCCTACACCATACCCCCAACCCCCAAAGTCCACACCCTTGACCTCTACCCTTACCATGACCTTGTCCTCTACCCCTACTCCTCTATAACCCTTCATACCATACCCCTAACACCGTTTAGCATTAAAATGTCCAAAATAACCATATACATAAATAGACACACAAACATTCATGAACACAAGTGCATAATATAATATGTGGGGTCACCTCGTACGTGTACGGTGTACCCATACCCCTAACCCTTACACCATACCCCCAACCCCCAACCCCCAAAGTCCACACTCTTGACCTCTACCCTTACCATGACCTTGTCCTCTACCCCTACTCCCCTATAACCCTTCATACTATACCCCTAACACCCACCTACCCTACTCATAGGGGTGGGTCGGGGTCGATGTGAGGGGGGGGGGGGGGTAGGGGTTACGGGGGTGGGGGCGGGATCGGGTGGGGCCGAGGTAGGGGGCATGTGATAGGGGCATTGTTCTAAAACTCGCTAGGCGCTAGTCGGGCGGTTGAGGGGCGCCTAGCGCCTAGGCGGCCGACTAGGCCGATTTTTTGGCCGACTAGGCCGATTCGGCCTCTACGGTTAGGGCCGCCTAGACCGCCTAGGCCGATTAATCGGTCCGCCTAGGCCGATTTTTAGAACAATGGATAGGGGTAAAGGGGTGGGGTCGGGGTAGGGTAAGGGGTTACAGGTGGGGGTGGAGTTAGGAGTGAGGTGGGGTAGGGTAAGCGGTTACGGATGGGGGTGGGTAGGGTGTTAAGGGATTAGGGTAAGGGTAGGTAGGATGGTGTGGGGGTGGTTTCAGGGTGGGGGCCGTTGTAGAGGTAAACGGGTACGAGGGTAGTGGTCGGGGGTAGGGTTACAGCCTACAGGGGGTGGGGTAGGGGTTATGGTCGTAACAGGTGGGTTGGGATGGCGATGGGCGTAGGGTGGGGGCCGTGGTAGGGGGTAAAGGGGTACACGTGGGTAGGTCGGGTTGGGGGTCTTGGTATGGAGTAAAGGGGTAGAGTCGAGATAGGGTAAAGGGGTATGAGGGTAGGGGTGGGGGTGGGTAGGTGGGTAGGGGTATGGTGGGGTCAGGGTTGGGTCGAGCTAAGGTAGGGTAATGGCGTGGTGGGTAGAGGGGTAGCGAGTAAAGGGGTAAAAATGGAGTAAGGGGTAAGGGTATGGGTAAATTCAGAAACTGAAAAAGCTTAGAGGCCATTTGACAACACTATTTTTCGGCTTCTTAGATTTATCAAGCAACGTTTTTTTACCAAACAAGTGACTTTTGCTTTCGTGATCGAAATGTGTAACAAACAGAAAAAGTAAGATTGTAGTTACTTTTCTTGCTGTATTGAGTGAAGTTACTATAGATGAACATTTAAACTATTTTTACATACATTTTTTCTTTATTTTTATTAATAAAATATATTTTAATTTTTTTTTTCTTAAATCAGCAGAATCAGCCAATGCAGCCACATCAACCAGTACTTCATAAATTTCAGCAGAATCAACCAAATTAGCTGATTTTTCGTTCTACCAAACGGGCTCTAAAAGTGCCGCTTAATTAATACATGGTGGTGATATGCTTAGTAAGTGACACTTCAAACACCTCATTAAGTTAGTAAACAACTTTTTGAACAGTTTGCTTGTTTACTTCAAGTAGCTTGTTTACTTCAACTATAGTCTAAGACGAGAATGATTTTGGTTGGGCCTGGGACTAAGCTACCGAGAGACCATATAACTGAATGATGATTCGGCCCGCATAAGGACCAACTCAGCTTGTCCACATCACGGTCCGCAGAGTAAAACCCTCGCGAAACCCATCATTCTGAAAATCCCGGACTCACGACTGTGAGAAGATAGCCACAGCTGCATCAGCAATGGACGGCGGGAAGCCTCAGAAGAAAGAACAATCTAAGAAGAGAAAGCACGGTTCCCTTCCGAAAGCAGACTCTGGTAAACTGATTTCTAAAAAACTGAAACCGGCTTCCGGAAACCCGAAGAATGCTCCTAAGAAGCCTTCCACGTTGTTTAAGAAAGGCACCACACTGAATGAGGAAGACGCTAAGCCGCGAGCTCGTAAAGAAAATGCCTCCGGAGAGAGCGACGGACCGCGAGCTGCATCTTCAGCAATGGATGGGAAGCCTCAGAAGAAAGAACAGTCGAAAAAGAGAAAGCATATTT